GGATTAAATTAGGCGCCTTCGGCGCCCCGATACTCCGGCGCCCTAGGCGGGCGCCTAGTTCGCCACCCCCTAGTTCGCCACCCCCTAGTTCGCCACCCCCTAGTTCGCCACCCCCTAGTTCGCCACCCCCTAGTTCGCCACCCCCTAGTTCGCCACCCCCTAGTTCGCCACCCCCTAGTTCGCCACCCCCTAGTTCGCCACCCCCTAGTTCGCCACCCCCTAGTTCGCCACCCCCTAGTTGCGGCCCTGCAGAGGTTTGAAAATTCTAGTTTCAAAAATAGGAATTGGTTGACAAACTATACCAACAACTATACCCAGCTGCACTTGCTACTAAACAATGTGTAAATCGGCCTTTAGAAGAAATATGCTGACAAGAAATACTACAGTGACTTGATAAACCACAATGGGGACCATTGCCGTCCTATTTTTAATTGGTTCTTTAAAATCTTATATAGGATTTTTACGCTATATTTAGGATGACGTCACATTTAGTAAATTTCTGCTGCCAACCTAATAAAACTAAAAGTACTTTTTATCGCATTCAGAGTAGGTGAACTTCAGATGTTTTTGGTTGGCAATGACGCGAGACGTTGCATAACTTGTATAAACATTTTCATTTTATTATTTTTAGCTGTCGTCAGAGTTAAATATTGATACATGACATTTTGTTAAATTAAAAGAAAAAAAATAGACAATTGACAACATTGTTTGTCCTTGTTCAATGACGTCACCCTCTATACCGGGTGCCCACGAGATTACTTTCCGGCTGCCATTTTTTTATTTGTTCATTGATATCAATGAAACTTGGTAGGCTTGATATTCTAACGAAATGCCATTTTTGTGCATTCATGACAAGTTTTCCTGACTTTCGGTTTCACCGGAAATTACCGCAACTTTCGATTTTCAAATGGCACACCCTGTATATTTTTTGTTTTTTGGATTCTACAGATCATTTTACGTCCTAATGTACCACTTTTAAATCGGACTTTGTCCAAATTTCGTTTTCAAATTAAATTTTAAATAGAAAAAAAATAATAACTTACATAATAAAACAAAAATATTTGAACGAAAATTTAAAAAAATGTCGTTGGATTCGCTTCAAAATACTGCATTTAGTAATGTTGTGAAAGTGATATGTTCCTATTCTAGATTTTGAGCTAGGGCAAAAATACTGAAATAATGAAGCCCTCTATCAAAAAAGTTTACAAAGATAAAATTCAGTTTGTATTTTTCGGAAATTAAGTAAAGTATGAAGAGTCATTTTAGGATGATCATGGCACTCTAGTTAAAAAATTAAAATTTAATTTAAAAACAAAATTTGGACAAAACTTGATGCAAAAGTGGTGCATTAGGACGTAAAACGGTCTGTAGAATCCGAAAAACAGAAAATCTACAGGGTGTTCCATTTAAAAATTAAAAGTTCCGGTCATTTCCGGTGAAATCGGAAGTCAACAAAACTTCTTAATTATGCATAAAAATGGCGTTTGGTTAGAATATAAACCCTATCAAGTTTCGTTGATATCGATAAATAAATAAAAAAATGGCAGCCGGAAAGTGATCTCGTGGGCACCCGGTATAAAACATAAAAAGCGTTTCATATACAATGTTCATTAATATTGAAAATGAACAAGAATATAGTGGCGAGAGGTACTTCTAGGCAAGGATAATACACACTACTACAGGATTCCGATTACTTATCAGGGCTGGGATCACGACAAGTGGAATTCTACTTTTATGACGTCATCCACGACCTATTTACCGCGTACAGTATACAGGCGATGATGACGGTTGTTAGGCATTAGGCAACCTGACGTCATGAAAGTAGGAATTCACTTGTCGTGATCCCAACGCAGGCCTCGACATGTGTGATCACTGATCACCCCGTTTCGATCCCGCCCTGATCCGATTATTGACTTTTTGAGGAAAAATCGGACCAGCGGAGTCGGATCGGAGGAGTGTATGACAAGTGTAGTAGGGAGTATGTAGGCGCTCTGAATCAAAACAGAGGCATAATAAAGACACTCCCCCTACCTCTCAAGATACCATCACCATCCTCTACCGCGTCGAGTATCTGTCTATCGCGTCCTCTATCCCCCTACCTCACAAGATACTACACACAACCATCCTCCTACCGCGGCCTGTATTCACCTATCGTGCCCTGTATCCCCCTTCCAAGTCAGGTGGAAACCAGCAAAATCCAGAACAATCCCTGTGAAAACCAGCTAAATCAGCATAAAACCATTGAAAACCAGCACGAAACCAGCGGAAACCAGTAAAAACCAACTTAAAATGAGTAAAATCTAGAATAAAGCCAGTGAAAACCAGCTAAGTAAATCAGCATAAAGCCAGTGAAAACCAGCACGAAACCAGTGGAAACCAGTAAAAATTAGTAAAATCTAGAACAAAACTAGTAAAATTCAGCACAAATCAGCAAAATTCAGTACAAAACCAATTTAAAACATAGCTAGGGGGATGGTTTTGTGTAGTATCTTGAGAAGTAGGGGGATAGAGGGCTCGATAGGCGGATACAAGGCGCGATAGGGGATGGTGATGGTATCTTGAGAGGAAGGGGGAGTGTCTCTTTGTCTCGTCTCTGTTTTTTGATCCAGAACGCTTACATACTCTCTACTAAAGCTGGGTTCGGATATTCAGCGCGAAGTTGGAGTGTAGTAAGAACAGAGCTTATGGAGTCACCCCTAATACGGTAAAAAGCAATATCCCGAACGGCTGGAGTGCGAATGGAGTCACTCGGAGTGCACGGAGTGAGCAAGCCGAACCTACCTTAAGTGTGTCCCGGCTTTTAGGTGTACGTTTGCCAATTCTCGTGTCGATAGGGCTTGAGAGTAACATCACCACTATAAGAAGCATAGCAACTTACAGCAGTGACGTCACCACATAGCTCAATATGATTCTTGCGATTCAGGTTGTGCTTGTTTTTTCGTCGATTTTAAATGTAGAACAGTTATTTATGTAACAAGTGTGTGAAGTGATCATTTTTTTCACGAATGTGAATTTTGACGCACGAGCCGAAGGCGAGTGCGACAATCACATGAGTGAAAAAAGGTGCTTTACGCACGTATTGCATACAATTTTTTTTCTACTACCAATCAAATAAGTGTAAAAAAATAAATTTAGACAAATACTTTACGCACTAGTGCGTGAAGAATTTTCACTTTAAGCACTAGTGCGTGAAGTAATTTACCAGAAAAATGTAAAATTGACAGTGTCGACATCTGTCATTGACATTACTTTACGCACTAGTGCGTGAAGTGAAATTTCAAGTCTTCTGAATAGTGCGTAAAGTGAGTACTTTACGCACGGTAGTGGAAAAAAATACTAAATTGACAATGTCAACATCTTTCATTACTTTAAGCACTATTGTGTGAAGTGAATTACTTGAGTCACTGTAAATTACTTTACGTATTAGTGCGTAAAGTAAAACTTTACGTCTTCTGAGTAGTGCGTAAAGTAAGTACTTTACACACGATAGTAGAAATAAAAAAAAAGGTGATTTTAACAAGATTACACTGGCGCCGACTACATGGGGGCATTGGGGAAGGTGCACCCATGACCAACCTCTCATGGGTGCGGAGCACCCATGGGAGCTCTCGTGGGGAATGCGGAAGTACAAACGTATTCAATGGTAATTCCGTTCCGTGTGGTTGTATCAGTATCATGTAATTTAAATTTACACAACTTTTCTATAAGAATTATACAAGTGGTATAAGTATTCTGTCCTTTCGTTATTTGTGGTCAGTTCTATGCCCTATTACTATGGGCCGGTTTCTCAATAGCGAGTCACCTCCGAGTTAGTTTCAACTCCACTCCAGGGTAAACATATCCAGTTGCAATGTTTCCCTGGAGTTATGCTTAACCCGGCGGTTAACTACTAATAAAAAACCTGCCCTCTATGTTGCCAATGTTGTTATTCTCTATCTCTATTCTTTGATAACAATCGGGACATATATCGATATATTACCCAAAAATATCGATATATTTTACATTTGATGTACCTATCAAAAAAATATCGATATAAACTTTTCAATACATTGGAACTTTTATAATCTTCGTTGGTACGCATCGGTACGCATAGTTTATTGGTTGACAAATGACAGAGACAGCCTGACAGTTGACAGAGGCGGCTAAAATAAAACAGTTAGTCAGTAAGTCAGTTAGGGCGGTGTGTGCGTAGCAATGAAATGAGAGAAAGAGACTTTCCGCATTGTATAATAAATAACTATTCCGCGCTCATTTTAGGACATGAGAGTACTAGGGTCACCTAACATTGCATAAGTGATATTTTCATGGCCTAAGATGCGTGCAGAAAAAAGCACTTTTCGCACGCTCGTAGAAAAAAATAGAAAAATACTCTATAAAATAGACGTTTTTGGGCGTGGCATTCGGAAAAAATTTTCCGCCTCCGGCGGCTTCTCTACTGCGAGCTTTCCCCCTCCCTCTATAGGCAAATTTATAAAGTTTTATTATCCTTCACCCATGAGGATTTTCAAAAGTCGGCGCCTCTGCAAGATTATATCGTTTAGGAATTCGTTTTTTTGACCTATACTACACAGACAGGCCTTATGAATATAGGCTATTCTGTAGTAGCATCATGTAGCAGTGTGTATTATCATTGTATAATCCTTGCTTTTAGATTCTTATTTAAAAGAAAAGTAGCTACTAGTGGCGCCCTCTCAAAGACGAAAACCAAAACATTCAAATTACTGTTAACGCCATCTATTATCATTATCGAAATTTGATTGAAAAATATTAGCCTTTATTATATTATTTTCGTTCTTGGATCATTTCAAATAGCCAAATAAATAATACAAATAAAATTATTTATGCTGAAATAAGATATTTCTACTCAAATATTTATAATAGTGTCTCCCTCTCTAGTCATCAAACAATTTTTATTAATTATCTATGCTGACGTCACTTATAAGACATCCTCTACAAACTACTAACCTTGATGTTCGTTTGTCAAAATTTTAAGGTTATGTTTTGCAAGTAGCACGCTTGCTTTTTTTTTGTAGAGGAGACACGTGTTGTGGGGTGTTTTTGCAGTTTTTCCGTGCAAAATAAACAATTAAAAACAACAAATAATCAAAAATGGGACGACCAGGTGAGTGGCCCTTTGTTTTTAGCAATAATTTAAATATAAACAAACCTTATTAACAATTTAATAAGTAAACAAACATAAACATGTTGGTTCCCCATGTGGTTTTTGTTTATTTTATGGTTTTTTGAGGCTCTAATTGATTGGTTTTCAATTAACGTTTTATTATTTTTCTAGGTTTTTCACCAGGAAATAGGGGAGGCGGAGATAGGGGTGGTTTTGGAGGTGGTCGTGGTAGAGGACGTGGAGGCGGCGATCGTGGAGGAGGTTAGTTATTTTTTTTGTACCGACGAGGGGTGATATTTTATGTACTAATTCCATCAGTGGATGTAATTATATAGAAATTGAATTTTGTTCAACTTTACCAAATTAATATTATATTGGACCATGCACGGATCTTATGAGAAAAAATAAATTTCACGATTGTCATGAAATTGAAATATGTTAAGCTTCTCGACCTCCTGAACGTAACTTCTCATAGGCCCAAAAAGATCCTATGATTAGTTTCGGAGATACAGGACCAGGTTCAAATACAAAATTTTGACAAAAAATAAACATTCAGTTCAGGCAATGACATAATCTAGGTTGAAAACCGATGGAAAAATGCCAAAAAGCGTTTTCACGAGTTTTGGTATGAATGTGGTATCGTGAACCATAACATACCACTTGTTTTCACAAAGTGTTTCGGTATGTCATTCAAAAACCTGGTTTCAATTCGGTCCGTCAATCTTTCAACCATCTCAGGATGATGGTATGAAGACGCGGTATGAGGCGTAGACGTTAGATTTTGGCTTATTCATATAATTGAATGAATGAATGCCGAATTTCGTAGATTTGGTTTAGTTTTATGTTATGATAATTACATATTCCGACATTAAACCTATCTGCATATGAAAATAGCGTTTCTCCTTTCGCCAACCACAATAGTGTTAATAAAACTCCTTTTCCAGGGATGTTGTTATTTTGTGATATTCCACTATCACATTTGATGCTTATTTCAAGCTGTATTCACATTAACATTAACATCAACAAACAACGATGGTGAAATGATACTAAAACATTTCATAACCTTCTGATACCGATCGGTTTCAACTGACGTTAATGACAAACCAGAGAGTAACCCAGTATCAAATGGTTTCATGATACCACAACTCTGTGAAAATGCTTAAAGTAAAGTCTTCTGAAGCTTTGAAGGTTGAAAACTTGTCGAAAAATGCCAAAAATATCTCATCTTTGGTTATGAATTAAATTAATGTACCAGCAGATTCTGGAGATTTTTCTTATACTCGTTTTTTTATTGGTCTGGTGGGGTTTATTTGAAATCCGTGCAAATCTTTCACATGCGACTCAGTCGGTTGAAATATATGCGTCAACGAATTCTAAAAATTCACAATCGGCTTATTGATGCATTTTGTAAATCGTGAATTTTCAAATTTGCACTACTTAACTTGGCAACGTGTCCTGTGAAAGATTCTAACCAATGACATTGTTAGAAAATTTCATATGACGGAACGGAATGACCCATTGAAATGTCAAATTTGAAATTGTTTAATGTAAACAACTTTTTCCTACAGCCGTGCGGAAAAATCGATTTTCCACACTGATATGCGACGGCTGTCAGTATGGAAAAAATTTTACCACGCTGATCTGTCAAAAAAGAAAAGAAAAATTTTACATTTTTACGCCTGTAGGAAAAATATTGTACCTAACACTTGCAGAAAATATTTTTCCACACTCGGCTGCTTCACCGAACTCCACTACGCGTCGTTCGGTGAACGGCAGCCGCGTGCGGAAAAATTCATTTTCCGCACTTGTTAGGTAAATAGCTATTTTGATTGTTTCCGTGCATAAAGTTTCGTGTTTAGTTGGAGTTTTTTCATTTTTTTTTTTTATATTATCTTAGTTTATTCTTTCCATAAGTGTAAGGCAATACCGCAACAGCCAAAAAGGATGGAAAGTGTGAGGGCAAGTGCCAATAAGAGAAGGTCCGGATTTGCTACCAAAAAGAACTCTTGGCCGAATTTTTGAACAAATATCCGTCCCTTTTGTCGGAAAATTTTTCAAATTCCTTTTCATGGAAAGAATCTCGAAACATTCTTTTGAAAGTCAGAAGTTTTTATGAATTCCCCGTCATTACCTAAGTATTGTTAATGCATGCATATATTCTTGGATTTCTGAAGCCTTTGCGGTTATGGTTATACAATTCGGCCCATTCTAGAGCATTCAAATTATCAATATTTTCGAATTCCATGAGGCCAAGAATACTCTTTGTCGACTAAACTGAAATTTTTAAGAAACTTTCACGTGCAATTTGGAAATGCACACACCATTTCAACCTCAATTTCAACTTCAATTTTTTATTTAGGAAAATGTAAAGTCATTTTCGGAAAAAGTCAAATCAATTTCAGAAAAAGTAAATTTAATTTCGGAAAAAGTAAATTCAAATTCGGAAAAAGTAAATTCAAATTTGGAAAAAGTAAATTCAAATTCGGAAAAAGTACATTCAATTACGGAGAAAGTAATGTTAGTTTTTAGAACAATTCGAATTGATAAAAAGTTAATTTAGCAGTGACTATAAACCTCTAGTCGAACCCGTAACCTGACAGGTTCGATTTCAATCATCATACTTTAATTTGGTTCTACATATACATATACATATATTATTTTGTAGGTCTGATTTATTTATTTATTTATTTATTTATTTATTTATTTATTTATCAATCAGACATCAACAGCCAGGGGCCAATTACAGACATCCTGATGATGTTCATATGAGCGAAACACATGTCACTATTAAGTGAATAAAATAATAAACAATCTGTAGACTTCGTAATTTTTTCTTTCTTTTATTGTTTAAAAATTGGGTCTCTTTGAGTAATATGTACAAATTTTTTGATTTTTTAAATAGATAAATGACCCAATCAATTCAAATTATTCTATAAAAACTAACAGTACTTTCTCCGTAAATCGTAATTGAATGTATTTTTTCCGAATTTACATTTTCCGAATTTGAGTTTACTTTTTCCGAAATTAACTTTCCTTTTTCTGAAATTGATTTGACTTTTTCCAAAAATGACTTTACATTTTCCTAAATAAAAGTTACTTTTTCCAAAATTGAGGTTGAAATGGTGTAGAGATGACGCATGTCAAATACAATCTTGTGTCGACCAATTTAGAGAAATGCTTCAACGAAAGTTTCAAATAGGCCACATGTGCATTTTTTTGAATTTCACCGCTAAAAATTGCGACTTAGACATTTTGAATTGCACGTTTCAAATAAACCCCCCCACAGATCTCCGAAACTAATCATAGGATATTTTTGGGCCTACAGGAGAAGCATAACATATTTCAATTTAATGAAATTTATTTTTTCTCATAAGATCCGTGCATGGTCCTTTGAATGTTTAATTTATGTTTCTGAATCAGAATTGAATGGTCTTCAAGATAAAATAAATTTGAGTATTTTCTGAGATATTGGGTTTCAAAATAGAAACTTGGTTTCAGATTAAAGAAAAGCTTCAAACTTGATTATGTCAAAAACAAAGGGTCAGGACGAGGGGTTTTTCACTTTGGTAATCGGTGTACAAATCACTGGTTAATATATGTCAATACCAGATAAATACTATGTCAATAGTGTCAATACTAGTCAATACCTACTTGTTAATTATGTAGGTAATATGCGAGGAATTAATATACCTCCAAAATGTATTAATATCATTTTTCAAATTATTTTCAACATGCTGAATGTACAGGGTGGGCATTTTATTAGGTGCCTATGTCTTTTCTCAGAAACTACAGGGTGTACAAAAAAAATATAAATACGAAAGTTTCTTGGTTTTAAGCAATGTTGTCAATTATTTGCGTTTTATTTATACAGGGTGTCCCAAAAGTGCTGCACCGACTTCAAAACCAGAATTTTAAATAGTACACCCTGTATGTTATTGCATATTTGGATTCTACGTAAAATTCTGAGCAGATTTCATGTAATATACCCTAAAATTTAATCTCCGGTTAAATTCAAAGTTGGTGTCAAATGATAGTTCATAAAAATCTAAGACAGGAATGTGAAATCGGTTTTCATCTAAAATTAACCGTTTAGGTTTTACAGCCTGTCAAAGTTGCAAAAAGTCAATTTTCAACTGTCAATATCTCCAAAACAGTTGAACTTAGGTATAGGGTATATTACATGAAATCTGCTCAGAATTTTACGTAGAATCCAAATATGCAATAACATACAGGGTGTTCCATTTAAAATTCTGGTTTTGAAGTCGGTGCAGCAGTTTTGGGAGACCCTGTATAAATAAAACTCAAATAATTGACAACATTGCTTAAAACCAAGAAACTTTTGTATTTATATTTTTTTTGTACACCCTGTAGTTTCTGAGAAAAGACATAGGCCCCTAATAAAATGCCCACCCGTACATAGTTTAGTCGTTCCCAGCTCTATTCTTGCACATACTACGAAGATCACTAAATTTAAGATAATCTTCTCTTAACTTACTTTGTTTAAATTTTTAATGTGCCACTTTTTTTTCCAAAGTTAATTGTTTTAGTTAGTTCCTTAGATCAGGTAAAGCGCTGTCCTATGGACATAATGAGTAGGAATGTGCCATTCTGCTTATGAAACTCAAGTGAAGCTAAGTTTTTGGCAGGTGTTTGGCACCAAAATGCAGGTTAAGCACTGAATTAAGTAATCTAATAAGTAACCTGTCAAAAAAGAAATTCAATATGGAAGTTCAGGTCAAGCACTATGTTGTTTATTCTGTATGTCATTGATTCTGTCACATTCTGGGGTTCAATTTTTTACCACTCGCTAAATAACGAAAACGCTAACATCATCGCATTTTTGCAAAAAAACGGAAAAACCCAATTTGTGGTCACACATTTCTTAGCGAATGCACTTTAGCTGCCTTCGCTTCACAGCGAGCGCTATAGGAGTTTTTTATTTTTTTTTCAATTAATTGTCATCCTGCAGTGAGTTTATTATTATTTTCATCAGCATTTGGCTTATAAAAACCTAAAAGGTAACATCAGTTGAATATTGTACAAGGTCGTTGAAGAAATGCACTTTTTGTTTTATCAGAAAGACATTTTCTAAATATTTTTGGCTTTCGAAAGCTTCAACGCAATATTTGATGCAGTTATTGACTCCTCACTTGTGATTCTGGCACCCCGGCTATGACTTTTCTTCGACATCTTTTTAGTTTTTTGTAATTTACATAAATTCAGCACAAAACTGGTAATGTCAAAATTATTTAAATGGGAAATCGTTATGTTTTATGTTATCATTCACCGACAGCGACTGGTAATACGCTGTTGTCATATCATACATTCGCTAATTAGTGAAGATGCGTAAAGTGCTTAACGAAGGGTCGTCAAGAATTGAATTTTTCCATAGCCTTCGTTAACGCACCGTTCGCTAAAAAGTGTGTTCTGAATTTAACGAAGAGTGTCAAAAATTGAACACCTGGACAAACGTCCAGAAGAGGGCAATCGGCTTATAGTTTTCCACTAATGATATGTCCCCTTTTTTATGTATAGGGACAAGGACTGCGTTTTTCAGGTCCTCCGAGAAGTACCTGTGTTCAAAAGAGATATTTGTCAAATATGTTAGTGGATTCACAATATTTTGGGAACACTTTTCAATCAGATTGCAAGGATCAATACTACATGACTTTTCACTGCTGATCAATTTCAGAATTTTAAAAACTTTTAGGTCACTCCGAGGGTCACTCAGTGGTGCAAGGAATATCGTTTGGAAATTTTTGTTGCTGTTTGGCAGATCCATGACCGGACTCAAGTCTGTTTCAGTGCTGGCGATGTGCAAGCTCACTCAAGCTCCGAGAATAATTGAAATTGGTGTAATTTTTTTTTTTCCTACTTTATGTCTGTCTTTCTCTCAACTGATAAGTTTCTCCAGTCGTTTTCTCTTTCCTACTTGCCTATTCTAGGTTTTTTATTAGTCAAGTTACTAGAGGATTTTTTGGAAAACACAAGTGTTGAGTCAAAGCTCCAACACACTGCTAATTACTCATACTATGAGTTATGTTGCTCTGACATGGTCAGATTAGATTTATGCAATACTTGGTGGTTTTGCTTTATAAGACAACAGAGAAACCCAAATTCTCATTCATTGGCTGTCTCTTTATCATTCCAACTCGTGGCCATTCAAGTGCCGGGAATAATCAAAGCTGCGACACTATTTGATATATTCCTACTTTATCTCTGTCTTTTTCTTAACTGTTAAGTTTCCTATGTCGTTTTCTATGTCATACTTGTAGTACAAAGGATAACGGCTTAATAAAGCAAAAATGTGGCTATTAGGTATACAAGCATGAAATTTGGCACCGACATTCTTGAGGCGATTTTAAGAGAGAGAGACAAAAATTTCCTCCATGGGAAGAGGATTTTCCGTCATTTTTTCAATTTTTTTTGAAATATCGTAAAATGGCTTATTTTTCAAAAAAAAACCCATTGGGACTATTCTATTCTTTGACTTTAAATAAATATACTCACCACAAAAACTTCACACCTATAGAAAATGGCGTCCGGTGACTACAGTAGCTCTCATTCAAGATGGCTGCCAACTTAAATAAAAACCTAAACCAGACAACCAACCATAACTTGTAATACCTCTTTTTTTTACTAATTTTGGGTCGAGAAATCCATTTCTTGTGTTAAAAATATCATACATGTTGCCATTTCGGTTTTATGTGTCATTTTTTCAATATGGCGACCATAAATTAGACGAAATCAAGGTAGGTATCAGAAGTTATGGTTGGTTGTCTGGTTTAGATTTTTATGTAAGTTGACAGTCATCTTGAATAAGAGCTATTGTAGTCGCTGGATGCCATTTTCTATTGGTGTGAAATTTTTATAGGTTTTATTTAAAAACAAAGAATATTCCTAATGGGTTTTTTTTTTAATAAGCTATTTTACGATATTTCAAAAAATGAAGTCGGCCATTTTGAAAAAATGGCGGAAACTCCCCCACCTTATGAAGGAATTTTTTGGGAACTCGACTGATGTCTCTTAGAATCACCTTAAGAATGTGGGTGCCAAATTTGATGCTTGTATACCTAATAGCCACATAGTTTCCGTTATCCTCCGGGCTATTGCCTATTCTAGGCTTTTCATTGGCCACATACAAAAATTACATACAAGCTCACTCAAGCGCCGGGAATAATCAAAATTCGTGTTACTTTTTTTTCTCTTACCACTTGATTTTTGTCTTTTTTTAACTTATTGGATTTCGTATATTGCTGTCTTTTTGTTCTAACTCTTGGCCACTCAAGCGCCGGGAATAATCAAAGTTTGCGTCACTATTTGATCTATCCCCACTTTATCTCTGTCTTTTTCTTAACCATTAAGTTTGTTATGTCATTTTCTTCAACCTACTTGCCTATTCTAGGCTTTTTATTGACCAGATACAAAAATTCATGTTTTAGGTTTGTTTCTGCAGAAATCACAAACCAGTCAGAGCAAATTTCATTGGTTGAAAACAGTCAGAAAATTAGTTTCAACCAATAAAATTCACTCTGACTGACCTATTATTAGTTGATTTGGCCCATTTGTATTCATGTATAAGTCATTAGTAAAGATGATAAATAGAACTGGGCTCGTACCGCCCTGAGGTAACCCTATCGAATTTGGTTGCAAGTCAAGTTTTTGGGTTTGTCCAAGGGGTTTTTCACCTAGCAAAATTTGTACACCGATTAACAGTACTAACTGAGATATTATATGTATTAACAGATATTTCTATGTACCTAATAACAAGTTATTGCCAACTATTTCCATGTATTAACAAAATATTCCCACATATTGCCAGGTATTTCCCCAGTATTATCACATATTAACAGGTATTGCCATGCTATTGACAGACTGAAATCAAATATTTGTCACGCCAGAATTCTAGGAATTGGCATATCCACAGGTATTTACATGTTATTAATGGGTATCAACCAATGTCAACATATATTGCCTAGATATCTTCAAGTATTGGCATATATTAGCTACATAATTAACAAGTAGGTATTGCATAGTATTGACACTATTGACATACCTAGTATTTAAAGTGCGTTTTTTTTTTTAAAGATAATTCCCAAAGTCAAAAATTTAGTAACTATGTTGGCAACACAAGCCTTTTCTACATAAAAAATTTGAAAGCATTGACAATTTTACATTGTATTGCCAACATAATGTCAGTTTGACTTTTATCTAAAAAAAAAAAACAGATTTTACCTGGTATTGACATACAGGGTGGGGTACGAAAAACTTCCCACCCAGAGTTTCTCAGGAATCTCTGGTGTTAGGTGTTTAATCAAAAATCGCTCAGACACGTCAATTTTTGTTTTTTGGGGGACACATTTTATTGGTATTTTCACCCTCTACTTGTCAACCCCTAAGTGGGGGTAACAGGAAAGAGAGGTCGAGTGATATGTCATTTGGTAGTCATTAAGATTATATCCCCAAAGTTTTAAGTTGCTACTATTTACCCTGCCGAAATGGCGGCATGTCAAGGTTAGAATGAATGCCTTTTTTCAATAATCTAAACTGTATTAGTCTATCCAAAACACGTGACTTTGACAAGTGAACAAAGGGTTTGTGTGCCTCTTGGCGGACATTTTTATTTAGGTTTGACAGCATTTTGGAATTGTCAGCCTATCCAAAACAGGTGACTTTTGACAAACAAACCACGGGTTTGTGTGGTTCTTGGCGGACATTTTAAATTAAGTTTGACAGCATCTTGGATAGTCTAATAGTTTTTACCTGTCACACCTATGCCTAGGTAACAGGTAAAAACCACACAGCATTTTTCCATTGATTTTTCCTAACTTTGCTAAGCCGCCATTTCGACAGGGTAAATAGTAGCAACTTAAAACTTCGGGGATATAATTTTAATGAAAATAGCTATCAAATGACGTATCACTCGACCCCCCTTCTCATTTGAAATTTTGGGGTACCTGTCACCTTCACTTAGGGGTTGACAGGTAGGGGGTGAAAATTCCAATAAAATGTTTCCCTCAAAAAACAAAAATTGACGTGTCCGAGCTATTTTTAATTAATCACCGAGTTAATCACCTAACACTTGAGAAAACCTGGGTGGGAAGTTTTTCGTGCCCCACCCTGTATATTAACCAGTGATTTGTACACCGATTAACAAGGTGAAAAGACCTTCGAAAATTGACTCGTTAAATTAGCAAATGGCTGTTAATGTGGATTTGCTCTTAAGGTACCCATGCTGATTATCATTAAATAAGTAACATGTATTTATAAAGTTTAACAATCTACTACACACTACTACTTACCTAATTCCATTAGTTTCGATTTGGGAAATAAAGGCAACAAGATTATTGGTTTAAAATTTTGGGATCCATCTTTTTATATGAAGGCTCTATCAGTGCTACTGATTTTGGGAATAAGAAAAATCAAATTTCCTTGTATACTACTTCTTGCAAAAGTTTTAGTGTTTTTGTCCTAAATTATTAAGTGAAGGTGAGATAGTTGATAATTAAATTAATGGAAATTGAGTCAATATTTACTTTCATCTATAATATACAGGTGATCAAACCACTTTACCCTTTAGCTTTGTTCCAACTCAGCAGGGAACCGTACATTTCACTGTCAGGATTTTGAGCGAAACATGAAATGTGTGCGTAAAATCTGAAATTTGTATACAGAGTGGTTCTGGAACTGTTCCTGGGACAATTTTCTGGCTGGTTGGAACAGACTATTAAATCACACATACCTCATTATTTTCTAATTCCTACTAAATTCCACACTAATATTTAGAAGTGTACACCAAAATTGTTCTAGTTTTTCCATCACTCATTCTTATTTACAGCAAAATATTACCTACATTTCAAGTAGTAGTGAAAATCAAATATTTCACACATTTGACTTATTTCTAAGAGAATATTTTTGAATTCTTTCCAGGCTTTGGAGGTGGTAGAGGCCGTGGAGGCTTTGGAGATAGAGGAGGGGGCCGTGGAGGTTTCGGAGACAGGGGAGGCAGAGGTAAGCATCAAAACTCTTAATTATTGCATAAAAATATACGATAATTATTTTCAGGTCGCGGTGGTTTTGGCGGTAGAGGCGGTGGCCGTGGAGGTGGACGAGGAGGCGGTCGCGGAGGCGGAGCTGGCGGTTTCAAAGGCGGCAAAACCGTTGTAATCGAACCTCATCGTCATGAAGGTGTTTTCATCGCTAGAGGCAAAGAAGACGCGCTAGTTACCCTAAACTTTGTACCCGGCTCAGAAGTTTACGGTGAAAAACGTATTTCGGTTGAAAACGAAGGCCAAAAAACTGAATACAGAGTTTGGAATCCTTTTAGAAGCAAATTGGCAGCTGCAATTTTGGGTGGAGTTGATCACATTTACATGCCTCCTGGTAGTAAAGTTTTGTATTTGGGTGCCGCTTCTGGTACTACAGTATCACACGTGTCTGACATAGTAGGTCCTGAAGGGTTGGTTTATGCAGTAGAGTTTTCTCATAGATCGGGCAGAGACTTGATAAATGTTGCCAAAAAACGCACAAACATCATTCCCATTATTGAAGATGCCAGACATCCTCACAAATATAGAATGCTTATAGGAATGGTTGATACTGTTTTTGCTGATGTTGCTCAACCTGACCAGGCCAGAATAGTTGCATTGAATTCGCAATATTTCCTTAAAAATGGGGGACATTTTGTTATTTCTATTAAGGCTAGTTGTATAGACTCGACGGCTCAACCTGAAGCCGTGTTTGCTTCTGAAGTTAAAAAGTTGCAAGCGGATAAATTGAAACCTCAAGAACAAATTACGTTGGAACCGTATGAGAGGGATCATGCTGTTGTTGTGGGTGTTTTTAGACCGGAACCTAAAAATGCTTAGAAATAGGTTTAAGATTTTTTTATATCCATTATGGTGGTATTAAGACAGAATTATATAAATTTAGTGTGTTTTAGTTTTTATTGTTTTCCTCCTCTAGGTGGGATAATTGCAATTACAATACAATTTTTTTTCATAAACATTTTAATTTTTCTATTGGCTAATTTTACAATAAAACGATATGTACTGTTGTTGGAATCGAAACACTTTTTTTTTTTAAATGTACAAGACATCAAACTACATCCTAATAATTTTAACTATATTGTTATTATTAATATGGAAGACTGACCATGGCATTTGCCAAAAATTCTTATGAAAATTACCATTGACAAAGAAATTTTCTTTTCAAATTGACATTTTTTAAACAGGATATTTTCATAATTAATTTTTGTTTCCTTAGCTATTATTAATGATTATATAATTTTTCTTATTTACAATTTATTGTTTTAAAGGCCAGTTTCTTTCTCGGCCTAAATCAAATTATGATAGCAACTCCTATATCCTATGCACAATCTGTAGTTCAAAGGTAAAGGTAAATTTATCACCTTTTCTTATCAAATAACACTGAAGGTGATAATTTTTACCTTTACCTTTGGAGATTGCATTGTGAATAGATAATACAAAGCACCAATAATGGAGTTTTTATGTGGATATTAGGAACCACATTTTGAAATATTGAAAAGTGTGCAAATAGAATATTGAAAATTGTGCCTTTATAAATGTTAAAATTGTATCCCTTGACAGAGGAAAATATTTACACTGTTAAGCAGCAGCAAACACCTTGACACATTTATTGTATTTGATACTGATATTTGTTTCAGTCGTTTACAAAAATATTGTTTTACAAAAAAAAAACATATTGCTGATTTACTCCATAGTATTGTACTGAACGTTTTTCACTTTCAAATACCTAAACACCCCATAACCTGTTACAGTAGCTAGGGCAGCTACTGCTAAAGTAGAACCAACAGCTATTGGAGCTGTTTCACTCCTAAAAAAAAAAAAAAAATCAATGAAACTCAATTCTTAGGGGCAAATTATGGATTGACTGGTAAACGTCTAGTTGTTGCCTAGCAGATACTTTCTATGCACTTAGACACTTACCAGTTGGTCCATAATTTGGCCCTTAAACAAACAAATTCTTACCTGAAACTTCTTTGCGCTTTACACTCAAAAGTGGTACTAAAATTCTCGCTTCTATACATGAAAGCTTGCACTTGTAAAGCTCTGAGCAGCAAAGTTCCGTGAACATCTTTCGGGGGACGGTCTACAGGATCGGTTCTAAGGTCTACATCGACTTCTTGATCGCAGATGTATGATTTACCCACTGGGGTTGGTATGACCATGCTGTTGTTGTATAGTCGGAGGGTTTTGTCGCGGGTTTTGATGCCGTGGAATTGGGGAATGTCTATGCTGACTGTTAGTTCGACGTTGGATAAGTACCAGTGCTCGCCTCCAGGTGTCTGAAAATTATTTATGCGATATGTATATTGTGTTTGGAAATTTAGAATTTTTTTTATACATTGAATTGAGTTTGAACATTTAAAAAATCAAAGGGGTACTTTTGGAAAAAAATTAAAAAACTCAAAATTTTCATTTTTCAAATTTTTGCAATTTTGACTTTTCTAATCGATAGAGCGAGTTCAAATTAGTCGAAAAAAACTCTAACATCATTACAAAATCTTGATTTCAATACAGAAAAATTTAAAAAAATATCTCAAGTTTTAGATTTAATTTTTTTTGAATCCCATCAAAGTAAGGAGCAATTGCCAATACCTCCATTAAAATTCGCGCAAATCAAAATAAATTATATATGGTTGGAAAGAGCATTAAATTCTCTATAAATCAGTGCTAGATTGAGTTTGATAACGTGAATACTTTTAGAGCAATCAAGCCTCAAAGTTGGATTTTAGTTAAAATTTAGTCAAATACTTCAAGCTCGATTTTCTCAAAAACCGTAAATGCCAGCGACTTTAACTGAGTACTATTTTGAAGCCCTTATCAGGAGTTACAATTTCAAAAAAAAAAATTATCCAAAATCTTTGACGGGTTTCGAGAAAATTAAATTTGAAAATTTTGAAATAAAAATCCAAAACCTTTAAAAAAAAATTAAAAACTAAAAATTTTCATTTTTCAGATTTTTGTAATTTTAACTTTTCCAATCACTGATTATTAAATTCCATGTATTCCCTAGAATTACAACTAGTTACTTATGATTGTTAAATATTTTGCCAGGTGATTTCCATTTTTTTGGGAATTCCTATATCATTCTCAATTATTGATTATCTGATTTCCTCTAAGCAATCATTTGATTCTCAAAACAATATCCAATCGTTAAGCTTCTTAAGATATTGTGCAAAATATGGCAACGATGAACCGCATTTTCTACTGTACCATATGGCATTATCGAATTTCGAATCCGACATTTTGTCTATGGGCCACAATGTCATCTAATAGTCAAACTGTCAAACCCAAATATTATAATCTTTTCCGGCAGTTAACAAAAATTCAACTAATTGGAGTTTCTTCCCCTACTCAATTCAGGAAATGAAAAAAGTTCTGAAAAATTGAGACTGAAAAACCAGGTACAGGGTGATCTATTATAAATTTCACCACCTGCTAACTTTTTTATTTGACCTTTTTGACAGAAGTGTCACATAAAAAAGTTTTAAGAAATTGTCAAAAGTTTTTAACAGAGTCAGTTTTAGGTATACAGGGTGCGTCAAAAAAGTGCAGTAGTGTGCAGTTATATTTTTTCAAATGGAACACCCTGTATATTGTGCGCTTATTTTTTAGTCCCCTTTAACCTGATTTCAACGATATACGATTTGATATGTTTATCTCTCGGTTTATCTCCAATAGCTATAGAGAAAAACGCGGAAAGCCTTTCCTAGGTCTTTCATGTTATTTTATAAAAAATAATAAGACATCTGGATTTATTATAATATTTCACCTTGTATATTAATGAATACAATTTGAACAGTAAACTGTTTATAAAAAAATTCTCTAAAACTTAAATGGTATAATTTTTCTATTTTCAATATGAAAACTTGAAAGGGGTTTTCATATTTTTCCGTATAACTATTGAAGATAGGCATACCAAACTCTTTATCGTTGAAATCAGGTTAAAGGGGACTAACAAATAAGCGCACAATATACAGGGTGTTTTATTTGAAAAAATATAACTTCACAATGCTGCAGTTTTTTGACGCACTCTGTATGCCTAAAACTGACTTCGTTAAAAACTTTTGATAATTTCTTGAAACTTTTGTATTTGACACTTCTGTCAAAAACGTTAAATGAAAAAATTTAGACGGGGGTGAGATTTATAATAGATCACCCTGTACATACGATGAAGGTGACCACAGATAAAAACCCTCGCCCCTACGGACTCGTAGGTAATTTAAAAAGACCCCGGCCCTCTGGGTATAAAAAAGAGATAGAAATACATTTTTTCTGAACTGGTTTTAACAAAAGATTTGTTAAAATTTACATAATTATTAGGTTTTGGAAGAAAAATTTAAAACGTAGCAACCCTAGTCGAAAAATGTAGTAACCCTAACGCAATTTGACGTTTCAAAGTAGGCCCTGTAGTTTTTGACAGTTAATTTAAAATGGCTGGGTTGTTTCCAAGACCTACTTGATTTGATAAATTTTTTGCTTACAGTTATTTGTATTACCGATATTGAATTCTAGTTTCATGACGTCAGGTTGCCTAGCAACAGTGATCATCGCTTGTAGTATACGCGTTAAATAGATCGCAGGTGACGTCATGAAAATAGAATTCTACTTGTCATGATACCAGTCCAGGATTGCTTCAAGGTTCACTTAGTTTTTGATAAGTAGTAATCTTATCGCTTGTCATAAATGATATTTGACATTCTGCCCAACAGTGTTGCCGATGTTTATATAATTACTGTTAGGGAAAATTTGAAATTTGCAAGGCCTTCTTGGGCTTTTTTTTTTGTATAAATTCCAGCCTCAATGATTGACACAATATTTGTTATAAGTTGGCAACACTGTTTGACTAGGGACAAAGTAGGCATTGCAATATTTTAAAGTTTAAATATGGCGCCCTGTAATACCGACATTGTAATACATACATGTTTTCAAAGCCTACTTGGTTTGATATAAGCCCGTAAGGCGAGAATTTTCCTGAAAAATCAACTTTCAAGATTACTGGTGATTTATTTTTTTAAATCTGGTGATTTTTCATTCCAATTTCTGGTGAATTTAATTTTTTTGACCTGGCAACAGTGTTTAATTTCCTCATGATGCCCTTGATATGATTTTCCCACTTCATATATTCAATGACATTTCCCAAATCATTTTAAATTAGCATAGAATGTATCAGGATCTAAGTTGGGCATATGGCTTAGATCTTAATTTTATCTTGTAAAAACACTCTAAAATTGTTTTGTTTGACAACTGTTGTTTCTTTCTCATCATCAAGAGTCACAAGAGTGAAGTTAGTGGTTACATCCCTAAGGGCCGGTTTCTTAATAGCAGGTCACCTCCGCCGGGTTAAGCTAACTCCAGGGTAAACATTACAATTTGACACGTTAACCCTGGAGTTAAAACCAACCTGAAGTTGGCCCCGTAGGCGCCGGAATTTCAAAATTACTATGGGGGCTGGGGCTCCAAAAATTAACATAAGTAAAAATAATTAGACAGACAGGACTAAGCTACTAGACACATAGACTTAAATGGAACCAGTTGACAGATACCGATTTAACTGCAGGATCGCCATGCTGGATCATTGATCGTCCCCGCAGGTTCCTTCATATTATTGAAATTCGTACATCTTCGACAGCTCGGCTATACTCGGCTTCGACAGCACCATTGGCGTAGTCAGGATTTGGTCTTGAAGGGGGGAGGGGCAAATTTACAGGAAGTGATCCTTACAGCAGTGGCAACTTCGCCGCAAGCTCTGTAGGAAGAAAAGCGCCGCAGCTGCGAAATTTTTGGGTCTTTTCACGGTATTTTTGGGACTTGCGGCAATTTCAACAAATTTTAATCAAAATTTATAGTAGAACGTTACTTATATGAACTGAAATCAACACACTCCCTCGCTATGATGCCTCGCTTTCATTCAAAACAAATTGAAAAAAAACTCAACTTATGACACGAAACAAACTTATAAATAAGCTAATGGCATGGCCAAAAAATGAACTACCTATATATACAGGTTTGACAGGTTAACACACAGGCCAATTTTAATGCAATAGAATGGAATGTCAAGAAAAACTCTAAAGTTGATGAATAGAGAACGAAAGATAACGGTTTCCTTTCTTTCACCTCCAGCATTCCCAGCGCTCTTTGGCGACCTTGTTAATGTCGTCTCTCTCCGCTTCGCGACGGGAGGCAGACCACATCTCGCTCTAAAATCTAATACTTTTTTCCCTTGAAAAATGAATAACTATTATTGATGGGATGTTCCATCTTTTGGTGTTAAAGTTGCTCAATATATTGGAATATAGAATATCATCCATAACTCTTTGGAATGTAGCCGGCGCGTTCTTCAAACCAAAGGGCATGCGCAAGAACTTATAATGCCCGTTTTCTGTGCTGAATGCGGTTTTTTCGATGTCGTTGTCTAGATCTGGTGGAAGCCGCTAGCTAAATCTAAGGCAGTGAAATACTGCTAGCGTCTCAGCTTCTTCAAGAGATTCGTTATGTTGGGTAATAGGTATCTGTCAAACTGTTTGTCAAAGTGGTTATAGCAAAAACAACAAAAACATAAAACACACAAGTTTGACATAATAGTTATTTATGTATCAAGGGTACTAAGTAGATGATTATGTCCCGAGGGCGACAGTCTTACAAAGCCGAGGGCCTCTGGCCCGAGGGTTCGTAAGTCGCCCGAGGGTATATATCTATTAGTACCCGTGGTGCATACAAACTTTTTTTTACTACTAACCTGAGAAGTAGTCATTATTCAATCTATTTTTCTCGGAAAAAATTGAATTTCTCTCCCTAGGTTAATAATGAAAATAAAGAAAAAAAACCTAGGTCAATAATGAAAATGACGTCATGACGCAAGGATATTGTCATAACGTTACAGGTTTCTATTGATTTAATTTCAATTTCAAACTGTCAATTTAATCAAAAAAACAGGTTCCTGTATGTATCATAGGAAATTACCATAGATGTTAATAGAGGGCAGCACTTCCAACTAGAAAAAATAATTTTAGCACAGATTTCAAACTTATTTTTTATTTTCTACTATAGCAGTAGTAAAAAAAATTCTATATATTCCACGGTAGAGAAAGTCATTATATACCTCACGCATTATAATTAAAGCGCTCGGTATATAATGACCAACTTCTCTACCTAGGTATATAATGTACTATTATGTCATGCCTGCGAGGGCCATAATATGTACTTTATGCCCGCGCGGGCCATAATGTGTACTTTATGCCCGCACGGGCATAAAGTAATGAATTATGTAGATGGTATCTAA